CCCCGCAGCGTCTGATTGGGCAGCGCCGCCTCTTCCTGCGCCTAACGCCTTCCCTGAACCACCCACCTCGCTGCTGAGTTAGTGCTCACCGAGTCGTGCGATGGGTTGGGCTGGGAGGGACCTTAGAGCTCACCTCGTTCCATCCCCTTGCAGGGAATTTTCCGCTAGACCAGGCTGGTTAATAGACTTAGAACTCAAAACCCTCCAAACCCCAAGGATGTGCACCACAGACAGAGCAATTGGGCCACCAGGCTCCCAGCACTTCTGCAATGCAAGTCGTCATCAACACCAGGATGTTCCCGAGACTCCACCTCAGCATTCTTGGCTGTAAAACTAAGCACCCTCCTCTCGGCCCAGATGCACACAACCCTCTGCACAGGGAGGCTGGAATTTATCCAGACTCCTGCTCTGTATTGCCTCACTGCCAATGACCAAAGAGCTCTCAGAACACTGCTGGTTTCCAGCAGTTCTAACATCCTCAATGCATGCCCAAGACAGGTCTGACAAGCTCTAGAAAGTGCCAAGAGAACATTGTGTTACCAAGAAAGGTTTTATTCTTTTTGCCAGTAGCTTTGTTAATTGCACAAAAAAAAAAAAATCTTTGTTTTGCCATTTAAACATTTTCACACATCCTATTCTGAATGACAAACGTTCATTAAAAACAAGGCAAGAAAATAAAAATTCACAACCTTAATGAACTATAGGATCTATCATCGAGGAAAAAGGAAACTGCTTTTCTTACAAGCTTTTCACAAGTGTCACATTTTCTCTTTAAAAAGGAGTCAAAAAAAGCAAATTGCTAAAACAAATCCTCATAAAAAGAAACTTTACAGAATTGTCAACAATATTAAGACAACATTGACTAACCAGTTTTATTAGAGCATCTCTCAATCCATAGCTTCCCCCCCTTCCCTCCCCTAAATCTCAGGCCTAGGAACAGATTGAGATCCATGTTCAGAGGCTACAGACATAAATAAAAGAATCCCAGTGAGACTGACAGCAATCTCACCTGGCATCTGGAACAGTCCTGTTTTCCCCATCTCCATCCCTCCTCACTTCACAGCCACGTCAGAGCTCCTGGGCTGCTCTGCTCCTCCCTGGCACAGCAGGTCGGGCCACACTGCACCCCCTGCCACTCCTCAGCCACCCACCTCGGCAGAAGCTGCAGTCAGCCCAGCCCAGGGAGGTCTGTTTACAGTGCTGAAGTAGTCTGCACCTGCCACTCCCACAGAAATAACCATCTCCATTCTGGGAACTACAGTATTTCTGGAAAACAAGCCCTGCAGCAGTGAGCTGCCTAGGGACTGGTTCTCTGAACTCACTATAAAACAGTTGTCACAGGACTTGAGAGCTCCTTTGGCATTCTCACTGTATCCAGAAGCATCACAAAGTAACAGAGAGGAAGCTCCTGTTACCCTTGCTCAGACCCATTCACCTTCACTCAGGCCCAAGAGGGCAGGGACAGGTGGGTGACACAACTGCACTGGTTTGGCAGTTCACTCTCAGCTGCACCTGAGACAGTACCTCCCTCTTCCTCTCAAAAGATTTCTTCTGCTGTAAAACCTGTAGTCTCATCTCCTGCCCCCAAACCTAGGATTTCCCCCTGCCCTCAATGTGAGTGATTTCTTTACTGTGGCATGTTGAACCCAGGACTTCAGATGCTAACAGCAGAGTGCTGGATGGGGAAGCACAGCGTGTCAAAGCAGGCCAATGGCTGGTTATCCTGGGCACCTCTCCATGCCTTTGGTATGGAGTCTCTTCCAACCAGGTTGATTCTAGGATTCTATGGTATCTACATGCAGGATGGCAGCAGCACTGCCAAAAGAAGGTGGATGTGTAGCACTGATCTCACACACACAGTGAGGTCGGACAGCTGTTGCCAGGTGCTCACCAGGGGACACAAGTAATGCAGCCTTAGCCCACTAGGAACAGTGATCACAGGAGGTGAAACACTCAAAGTAACATTTACAGCATGAGGCATTAGATGATGTGATTCAAAGTGAGTGTCTGACACTCTCTGTTTCTTAAAAAGGTGCCCCTGAACCATACACACACTATGCACAAAGCAGGACTGGTAAGAAATCCTAACCCAGGGGAAATTTCCTTACACGGCCATTAAGTTCCAAGAATAAAACAACATGACAGGAGAGGCAGACCTCAGGTATTTAAAGGAACACAGCCTAATTTGAATCTGTTTTCTTTCCTTTCAGAATCCCAGCCCAAGGGAGGAAGGAGATTGTGCCACTGAGAAGTGACTTTGGCCAACAAAGTTTCTCACTGGCATTTTTCTAACTCTCAAATCTAAAATGTAAGAACACTCCTAAAAGGCTAATACTGAGAATTTAAATAAAAACCCAAACCATGCTCTGTGCATTTTCAGAGAGACAGGTATCCTTCAGACTCTGGGTTGCTCTGCTATCAACACTGAGAGCATCTCTGATCTCTAGCCTTGGCATGTGCAGCTCATGTTGCCCACCTCTAGACTAAAGCTCAGCAAGTGGTCTTAGCCTTCCCCATTTCAGTTATGTTGTTATCTGTCCACAAGCAGAGTCACAGGTACAGGGAAAAGCCTCAGGCTGTGCTAGTTTGTACCCAGAGTAGCAACACTAAGAACATGTATGGAAAACCTGACAAGTATAAAGATCATTAGTCAGTACACAAAAGTATCCCTGTGAGGTAGGTAATCATCACCCACCTTTACAGATGGGCAAACAGGCTGAGAGATGTAACAACCGTGTAAAGGTCAGAGAGCATGGAAAAGGAGCTCAGGATTCCTAATCTCTTGGATCATTCTTCTCACCCCTTCCAGACTCATCACTCTGCTTATGACACTGCTACAATCCAAGACATGTTTGTAATTATTGACTACCAGGGTTAAAATAAAAAAAGCAAGAAGTAACGTAACACGAGCTGAGGCCAGGAGCAGGTAAAATTTCTCTGGCCCAGTTTTAGGCTCTATGTTGCTCTTGTAGCTTTCTATGAAAACGTGTTGCTCTCCAATGCTGTTTTGGATGGGCTGTGATTAGCCTTTTAGGAAGCTCATTGACACTGGCATTCTCCCATTTTCAGTATAGTTTGTGTTCCCTAAGCTACAGCTGTCTGTACAGGGGAAGACATGGATGCAATGTGTTTGTCTTTAACAGTACAGCAATTCCTCCATCATGGTGCTGGGGAAGTGGAAGTTTAAAAAGAAAGAATCAAGAGAGTGTTGCATGCAACCCCCATTACCCTCTGGAACTGCCCTTCTCCTCCATGGGAGGTGCTTTGTTCTCTAACAGTGGCCAATTAACAGGAATGCTCCTCACCTTACTTGGGACCAAAGACTCGATATTTGCAGGTAGATAGGATCTATGTCACCTCTCCCCTTGATGCAGAGAGTTCAACACATGCGTTATTTCACAGCAAAGGAGAAAAGGGATTGTTAGAAACAGCATCTTGGACAAGCAAACAAAGAGGAAAATAAAAGCAGCCAAGCAGCAGATTTCTGGCAGAGTTGCCTCAGAGCTTCTGAACAAGCCGCCGCTGTTCCGTCCCATGACTGTCAGTGCATGGCATGGATTTTCCTAATTAGACTGCAACAATCCAAGCCCCCTCCTCCCCTTCCTCCTGCCACAGGGGAAGGCTCACTGCGGCAGCTGCCTCGGTGGCAGGTCTCAAAGTCTATGTATAAAAGGAAATGGAAAGACAGAGATGGACTGGTCCAGAGTTAAAACCCAGTATCATAATAATATTAATCAATAATCATCATATGAACAGTAAGAAGGGTGCAGCCTAGTGGATGTAGGCCCTGTACACTGCAGACATGTCGTTGTCGGATTGGTCCAATGCCTTTGCGCGTTTATAGACCTGGAGAACAGAAACCAGAAAAGGATCAGAGCCTGCCTTTGTGCAAAGTCTCTCCCAGTAGAAAATTCCTTTGCTGACCACTGTGACCAGAGAGCTGCACAGTGTGTCAAGTGATCAGAGCAGTGTGGATCAGGACACGTCAGGTCTTGTTGAGGCCATCTGTGTTTACTGATGGGATATTCTAAGGGCTTCTACAGCCAAAACAAATCCAATGCCACCCGAGTCAAAATACAGTTCAATCACTGCTCCATTGTCTTAGAGATGATGTCATTCTTAAATGTCTGTCTCCTGTTGACAAATGGCTCTATTGAAGAAATGCTGAGTAACACGTCTGAACACTGAACTCTTACCTCGTTGGCAGCAGCTGCCATGGGAGTTGGGTGGTTGACAGAATCACCCAGTGCAATAGCTAATCTAAGATCCTTCTGTATGTATTTCAGGTAGAAATCAGGTTTAAAGTTTCCTTGCAAGATATCTGTTGAGAGGAATGAATGCAAAAAGTAAGCACAAGGAAAGTAAGCCCAGCCCACACTGCAAGGGGCTGCAATTCAACATCCAACTCCCTTCCCCTTGCTGCTGACCAGGAACATTGCTTTTGGCTCTCCTGTTTCTCTGCTCTCTATCATCATCTGGCCACAGCAGGTGATGTCATTACTGCCCACTGACAAAAGGAGCTCAGTTTTCTAAGCAGCTTGCCCTCCAATTCACTTGTTACCTTGCCCTGAAGAAATTCTGACTCAAGCCCTAAGCAGTCCTAATTCAGATTCTCAGAAGTCCTGGCTATGAAGGGGAAGGAATGCAACTCAGGTCCCATAACCCCAGGCTCACAAAGATGGGATGGTTATTTTCTCTCTCCTGCCACTATCTGAAATGCTGCTAGGTTGTAGCAAATATCATATAATAAAACAACGTAAAAAAAAATAACCACTTTACTTTGGCACTTCTGGTCCAGGAAGATGCTGGCAAGTTGTCCCTGATTGAGGATATCCAGAAGGGTCTGCTGGGACTGGCCAGTCACTTGAGCCAAAGTCAGTCCTTCTGCTATTGTTGCCATGAAGCTGCCTTGGACCATGTTCACAATCAGCATCATCTTGGCAGCATTGCCTACTTCACCTGGGAGTGAGACACACCATTGGGATTCCTCCAGAAGAGACACAGCAGCCCCAGTCCCCCAGCCCACACAGCACTAACACCACTGGACTTTTCAGATCAAGCACTTGGAGCTCTCCCTTCCCCTGGAAGACTTTGGAAAACATTCCCATTTTCCAAGCGCTCAAAGGAAGGGAGAAATCATAACCAAGTACGATTTTAAATCAAAAGCATCACAGATAATCCAAAATGAGTCAGTATTAAGAAAAGAAACCTTAAGCTGCAGGCTCTGACACTGGCCAAGTTCCAGAGGAGCAGGCCAATTTCCCACACTGCCCAAGGAGACAAGAAACTGGAATTCTCAGTCCTTGCTCTAAGAAACTGCTGTCAGGCCCTTCATGTTTCAATTACCTAGGAAAAAAGAGGTCTTCCCCATGGCTTGAAAACAGCTGCTGCAGTCCTCATATAAACCCCTGTCCCCAGCTGCCAGGATCACAAGCATCCCATCATTAGAGAGCTGCTGGTTTCCTGAGACAGGAGCTTCCAGAAAGCGACCGCCCCGGGACACTATCACCTGGGAAAAGAGCAGCTCTGGTTAGCTGTGCATGAACAGAACACACCCATGCTGGTTCCAAACTCCACTGCTGGACACAACTGTACATGAACAGCAGTAGGAACATTATTTAGGG